ACTGGTCCCTCCTGACAATATGTCTGAAGTATGAAAGTTTGGCCAGCTTGGCTTCCAAGGAGCACTCTAGCTGTACTTCTTCCAAAACGGATCTATTGGTTTTTTTGGCAGCCCATGGCACTTTCAATATTCTCCTCCAACATCATAACTCAAAAGTATCAATTCTTCCACGGTCTTCCTTATTCACTGTCCAGCTTTCGCATGAATATGAGGTTATTAAAAATACCACAGCATGGGTCAGGTGCACCTGAGTCCTCTAGCTGACATCTTTGCTCTTCAACACTTTAAAAAGGTCTTGTACAGCAGATTTGCCTAATGCAATGTGTCGTCTGATTTCTTGACTGCTATTCCCGTGAGTGTTGATGGCTGAGCCAAGTAAAATGAAGTCTTTGACAACTTCAATCTATTCTCCATTGATAAGAATGTTCTTTATTTGTCCAGTGGCGAAGATTTTTGTTTTCTTTACATTGAGATGCAGTTATTGTTGTTAGTGAGTGTCGTCGAGTCGATTCCGACCCACAGTGACCCTGTATAGGGTTTCCAAGGAGCAGCTGGTGAGTTTGAACCGCCGACCTTGCAGTTCAAGTGGCTTTGCAGTCTGGCACATTAACCCACAGCGCCACACTAGGACTCCTTGAGAGATGCAGTTGTTGTTGTTAAGGGCCATCGAGTCAGTTCCGACCCATAGCGAACCTGTATAGGGTTTCCAAGGAGACACTGGTGAGCTTGAACTACCAACCTTGCAGTTCAAACAGCTTTGCAGTCTGGCGCAATAACCCACAGGGCCATACCAGGACTCGAGGACAAAATTAGGAAAGGTTAAAAGAGGAGGAATATAAACAGTTTAAGCACAGGGATAAGAGATGTTTCACTGTGGGGACTGCAGTCAATGAGATGAAACAAAATGTGTATGAATCACTGAATGGAAAATTTATATACTCTGTAAATGTTCACCCAATTCACAATTAAGAGAAAAAAAATTACATGTGTGGTTCAGACTTAGAGCTCACATTATATGTATTACAGCTCAAAACTTGTATTTCTATTGAACAGAAAATTTCAAAGGTCAGCTCAAGAAAACAATGTCAAATATTATAATGAAATGTGCAGAGATCTGGATTAGAAAACCAATAGAGAAGGATGTGCTCAGCATTTCTCAAGCTGGAGAAACTGAACAAAAAATTCAAACCTCGACTTGCGGTATGGAGGGATTCTATGGGCAAAATATTGAATGACGCAGAAAGCATCAAAAGAAGATAAAAGGATGACACAGTCACTGTACCAAAAAGAAATGGTGAATGTTCAACCATTTCAAGAGGTGGAATTAGCCACCAAGTCCTCTCAACTTGAATAGTAGCATGATTAATAAAACTAGTTACAAAGAATAAGGACAATAGCAAGCAATCAGTCCACAGTTGTTATCACAGTGCTGTAAAGAGGGCCTTTCTGGTCAACTTGAGTTACCATCTTATTTTTTTGTCCTCGAAACTTGTCTGATTAAATATAAAGATTTTAGAGCCTACAATGTTCAGTCTGTATGACTGAATCTAGCCATTGGTGTAGCTTTAGAAATAACAGAATGTTAGGAAATGGCTACTGTGCCAAACCTGGTAGAAAGGCTGATGCTGTGCTGTGTGATGTATCCAGTGTCCAAAGATGAAGAGTTGGAAAAGCCCAAAAGCCCAGGGTAAAGAATTAAAATGAGGAGCCAAACTAGTAGAAGGTCAGCACCACAGGGTATAAAACAGGATCAGCATGCAGTCACTACTGTTTGGGTTTAGAAAACCCGTAAGTTCCTGTGACATTTAAAGAGTGGGAATAGAAGTAGGAAGCTTTAGCACCTCTATGCTGGAGAGCAAGATTCAGTGTCTCTTCTGACATCCATTTTGGTCTTTTCCTTTATTCTTGTCTCTCAAAGACCTTTTGCTTTCTTCCTGTATGATGTTCTGATGTTATCCCTAGTGTCTAATGCATCAAATCTGTTCTTGAGATGATCCCTAAATTCAGGTGGGATATATTCAAGGTCAATTTTGGCTCTCATGAACTTGTTTTAATCTTCTTCAGCTTCAGCCTGAATTTGCATATGAGCAATTGATGGTCTGTTCCATAGTCTGCCCCTGGCCTTGTTTAGTCTAACAATATGAAGTTGTTCCACCTTCTCTTTCCACAGACATGGTAGTTGGTGGTTATGTGCCATGAAGTCGGCTCATAGCGACCCTGTACAGGGTTTCCGAGGCTGTAAATCTTTTATGGGAGCAGAGAGCCTCATCTTTCTCCTGTGAAACAGCTGGAAGTTTAAAACTGCTGACCCTGAGTTTAGCAGCCCAATTCATAACCACTATATTACCAGAGCTCCACAGATGTAGTCAACTTGATTTCTGTGTATTCTATCTGGTGAGGTTCATGTGTACAGTCATCTTTTACATTGTTTAAAAAAAGTATTTGCAACAGGGCTCTGGGATACAGGGATTGAGACATAGTTGGAATGGGGAAAAGGGGGTAAAATAATGTTAAGATACCTGGCTGTCCTTTGAATCTTGGTTTCCCTGGCATACCATTATAAAATAGACACTGGAGGGGGAGAGAAAGGAATAAGCCAGAAATATCACCATACAAAAAAGCTTGTAAGTCCGTCTTCTACCTATAACTGATTGGAATACCTAAAATGGGGCTACAATGTGCCCAGTGAAGGAGGCTTCCTGTGGAGCCTCTGCATTACATAAGACCATAGGTGGAATCCTGAACTCCATCCAGAATCTTCTGAGGTGGGAAATTTCCACTTGAAAGGACAAGCAGACCAGCCTGGAGCGGCTAGAAGAACAGAAGCTACTTCTTGAAAGAAAGACTGACAGGAAAAACACAAAACAATAAAGGCAATCTAACTGATTACTACAAGAACGTACAAGTTGCTCGCACAGGAGACATCAAGGCATGAAGTCAGGTCCCCTCAGGGCAAACCCCCTTCCAAGAATAAAACTCAATGGGAATACACTCTCTGATTAGTGACCATGTTCGTTACCGATAAGGGGAAGTGAGGGAAAAACAGCAATGAAGCTGCTAGCTAAGCCCTACAATGTTCAATAGACTCCTGTGAACCCAGGTGGCAACCTGGTTGGCCAGCAGTGTGACAAGACATGGGGACTCTTGGGCCCAGAGCCAGTGACATAGCCACAGAGGGCTAGAGTGGAGAGTGAAGCGTCCAGCTGATAAGAAGAGAGGGCATATGCATAAGTACACCCACACTTGCAGATAATACCCACTTGACCTGCTTCAATGACTAGATAATCAGAGCTCAAATAGAAGAAAAGAAAAAAAAAAAAAGAGTAATCTGATACAATTTGATGAACTTGACCTACACCTATGGAT